CCTCTGTCATCAGGCAGTTCAAACTCTGAATGAAGGTTCACTAGCAACTATAAGACATTGGTTCTCAAAGTGGGAACCTGGATCGACAACATTAAAGTCACCTGGTAACTTGCTAGAAATACAAATTCTTGGGCCCATCCCCAGAGCTACTAAATCAGACATTTTGGGAGTGGGTCCAGAAATCTGTGTTTTTGTTTTGTTTCATTTTTGGTGAGGAAGACTGACTCTAAGCTAACATCTGTGCCAATCTTCCTCTATTTTGTATGTGGGATGCCACCACAGCATGGCTTGATGAGCAATGTGTAGGTCTGCACCAGGGCTCTGAACCCACAAACCCCGGGCCACTTAAGCAGAGCATGCAAACTTAACCACTATGCCACTGGGCGGGCCCCCAGAAATCTGTGTTTTAACAAGTTCTCCAGGAGATTCTGATCACACTAAACTTTGAGAATCACTGTTCTAAGACAATAAGGAAAAATATGAGGCTTGTGTATATTAGGAAATTCACCATGGTAAAGGTGATATTTGATATTTTAGTTTTTGTGTTTTATTCCAAAATTTTAAAGACATACGTGTAGAGTCCCTTTTTATTTCCCCCTCAGGCATGTTCTAATTCTTCTCCTTTTAGAAGCAGACACTATCATGGGTTCAGTGTGTATGCTTCTTGCGTATGGTTTTGCACTTTTACTATATATGTATGTAATCATAAATAATCTGTCGAATTGCGTTGAGCTTTACCAATCTTTATGAATAGTAGCTTATATTTTTAAAATCTTTCCATTTATATTTTTTCAGTCATTTTAATTTCTGCATCGTATTTCATTGTACAAATATATCAGAATTGTTATGCATTCCTCTGTTGGTAAGCATTTGGGTTTTTTCAAATTTGTATGGGAGAGTGAAGCTGTTGACATCATTAGATCTTTCTCAGCACTATAAGAATGGATACTCTCTCTTTACCAAAGGAAAAACAAATTAAAATCAAAATAATTGTGCAGGTCTCATAGTGTTTTTCATTTAGCCATAGGAACTCCATGCTTCTCGGCAACTTTTGCATTATAACTTGCTACATTTGAAAACCTATGTATATATAGAATTAAGTCCAGATACCTATTGCCTCTCTGTTCTTATTCATCCTATCAAGATTTGGCCTCACTGAAATTGTTTCTTCTGAAATTGTCTATAGGGAGAATACTCTGAATCTCAGCAGGTATTTCTAAACTCCCTTGATTCCAGTTAGCGTAAGTTCCCATCAGGTAGTTCTAGGGGAGACAGATAGCTGAACATATCAGACACTAGTTTAAAAAGCTGAACTGTGCTATTTCGTTCTCCATCTGGAAGGAGCTGAATCAGGACTGACCTGGGGCTTAAACAGCAAAGGCTTTATCTGCCTGGGTGGATCCGGTCACAAAGAAAACCAACTGTTCATTGGGGTTAGGCCAGGGCCATTAGAGCCCAAGGCTGTTTAACCTGCTATAGGAAGCTGGTAAACTGAAATCTAGTGAATTTCATTACTGTAACAGTCTCCACCACCACCCAGGGGTACACCAATAACCTTCTAATACTGGCCTGAGAGCTGCCCCAGAGCCACATGTGGTGGGACCACAGAGAAAGAATCATAGTACTCTCTGGCCATGTGCTAACCCATCATTCAGAGCTTGAACCTGTTCTTGAGGCTGTGTGCCAATCCATCATTCAATACTTGCATTTGCTCTGCCATTTCTCTAACCAGAAGTCATCCAGACTCTGCTTGAATTCCTCTAATGATGGGGGACTCATTGCCTCCTGAGGTAACTTGGGACTGGATAGAACAAGTCCAAGCACTCCTTCAAGGAAAGCCCTCCAAATATTTGCAGAGAGCTCCCGTGCTTTGGCTCTCTTGCTGCACCCGGGTGCTTTCTTCTCCCTCCTAGCCATCTTCAGTTCTTTCCATCTTTTTGCATGTGACACGTATTCTGATTCTCTCACCCATCTCTGCACACATTTGAATGTGGTCTATGTTCTGCTTTGTTTTTGTTTTCTGAGAGTGAGAAAGCATTCTAAAGATCTAGGAAAGAAGGATTTTAAGTACAGGGTGAAATATATCAATTTCTTTTTCTTTTTTGGCGGCTTCTGCATCATGGTACCTTGACTATACTGATTAGCTATTGGTTGAAATGAAAGCTTACCTGTTCTGGCTTTTTTGGTTCAGTTACTGTCACCAAACCAAGGAAGACATTTTCTCAAACACCAAAGACTGTTTTTTTTAGATGACCAAAGTGAGGTTTAGGGAGGAAAACGGTCATATCCAATGTTACACTCAGGGTCAAAACTTAGTTGTCCTGATTTTCTTACCAGTGCTCATTGCACCATCTCCTCAAAGACACCTGTAGGTATCAGTCAGATATAAGTTATTTGTATAATTTAAGACAATTTGGTCCTTAGGGAGGTAGAGTTGGGAAGGCTGTGTTGTTCACTAAAATATAATGAATAGAGCTGGATAAATGGGCCTCCTAATTCTAGCTGGGTTTAATTTTAAACTCAGCGCAGTGTCACTCAGTCCTCAAGGAGGAATGGTGAATAACATCTTCTTTGTATATATTTAATTATAAGAAACACCAGTGAGTACTGAGGTACCAACTAGGTGCTGTGGATATTCAGAGACTCAGAATTTGACCTTGAGGAGCCCAAGAGGGCTTTGACCTAGAGGGAAGACTGTCATGTTCATGGAAGTATAGGAAGTTCTATAGTTGAGGTGTGAAGCAATTGCTACAGGACTGCAGCCAAGAGGAGAGACATTCCTATTCAGAGAAATAGGAGGAGCTGAGCTTTTGACAGATGGTGGAGAATAGAAGCATGTGAAATGCTGTTCCAAGTTGAGAGGATAGATGGTGAAAACACAGGCGGGAAAATGCAGGGTGTGTTTCAAGAACGATAAATCAGTTCCAAGGTGTATTGCTCTGATCTAGATTTTTCCCTCGGACTTCAAAGAAGAAATGTCACCACTGCTTGTTCATATTTTTTTAGGGTGGTTGATGCAGGGAGAAGAGTCTTTCCCTGAGATGGATGGAGGATGAACGAATACGGTATGTGAGCATTTTTCAATTTCTTTCAAAAACTAAAAAGCATTTTCAGGGGTCAAAACAAAGATGGTTTTGCTATACCCTGCAGCCCCAGAACAAAAACAAAACGTTGAAGTAGGTTGTCAAAATGTTTTCTGACAATTCAAAATTAAAATGACTTCAAATAAAAGACAGAGAGCTATATGGAAGGCTGGCCTGTTAACATGTGGCCTTCTCTTTCTCTAAATTGCTAGCTATTTCCATCTGTTTCTTTCCTCTTATGTTTGTCTTAATTTCTATGGAAAGCGGACTGATCACTGGATAATATGCGTGATGCATTTAAAACTCAGGACGAAACATTAATCTGAGTTTTAGGACTGAGGGGATGACTGGATAGGATCATCTAGTGATTAGATTAGAGTGTAAGGCCCTTGTTTTATACCTGAAGAACATAGCTTTCTTTTAAAAATTCCAACTAATAGTTGTGTAGATCTTAATAGTTTATAGACCACTTTTCACAAGTATCAATTCACTCACTCACCCAAGATAAACGTACTGAGTATCTACTATGTGTGAAACTCTCCTCTAGTGTTGGAGATATAGACATGAATATGGCATAATCCCTGCCCTCAAGGAGTTCATGGTCTTATAAACTGTCTTATAAACAAAGTTATGACCAAGTGTGATAGCAAATACAGTTGCAGCTCAGAGGCTGGAGTAAATAAACTTGTCTGTGGGAATATTGAAGACTTGCAGAGGAGGCGATGCTTGAGCCTGGTCCTGAGGATTTTAGAAATTCATAAGATGAAAAAAGTTGGAGGATGAGTCAGTCAGAGGAAAAGCAGATGTTTAACATGTTGATGAGTGACTTAGATTCATTTGGTGGCAAGTAAAAGAAACTAATTTCATGCTTACTTAAACAAGAATGGGAATGTATGATTGGGAACCATGAACACCCCGCAAATCCCAAGGGCAGGGTACTGCCAAGCCACACTATGGGGCTGAGCAAGAATAGAAAAGAAAGCCACTGAACCGTAGATATCTAATTTAGAGCTCTCAGTCTAAATTCTAAATTCTTGGTAGAGAATATCTAGCTGGCCCAGCTTGGGTCCAGAATCCACTCCAGCCCTAGCAACGTGACAGAGTGGGAAGATCATATGGTACAAACACGGTTTCTAAGGCTCTCTACTATGGGTGAAAGCTTCAGAGAAGGAGGCTTTAAGACTGCAAAGATAATCCAAAAATTGTCTGGTATAAGCAGGTCTGAGATCTCCAATACAAATTAAGAATTTTGGTAGTGCCAATACATTGTGTGGTTGGGTGTGTGTATGTGTGTGTATGTGTGCTAACAGAGATAGGGAGATAGATGAGACTGGAGAGTTTGCAAGAAGGATATTGTGAAAGAGTTTTAATCTTTTTGTTTTTTAGTTGATGAAGGACTTTTAAACATTTTGATAGTAAAATGATCAGAATTGTATTTTGGGTAGTTAGCTATGATGGTGGTGTGGATGATGAATTGGAAAGGGATAAATTGGAAGAAAAGAAGACAGGTCACAGGTAACTGAAATAGTCTAGATAAGAGACAATTAGAGCCTTAACTAGACAATGGGGTTGGGCAAAATGAGATGAAGTGGAAAAACATTTCAGGAGAAAGAAATAGAACATTGTGGCCTATTCAACGTGGCTGAGGATTTAGGAGGAAACTAAAATGGTTCCCACCTTTCTGATGTAAGCAAAAGAGTATCAGGGAGAGTGATTCACCAAGACAAGCAACAGAAGAGGAGACTGGGCTGCATAAGTATGTGGCAGTTGTGCTGAGTTAAGGTACTGAGGACCACCGAAGGCAAATGGTGAATAGGAAGATAGCCGTTCCCCTTGGGAGTGAGGTCTGGGCTGGAGGTGAGATTTGGGAATCATAAATCATGGATGGTAACTGAAGCCAACGGGTGATATTTTCCAGGAAAATTGTGCAGAGTCAGTAAAGAAGTGGAGGGAGGATGGAGCCCTGAGGGGGGCCGCATTAGAGGTGAGTGGAAGACAACAACCTCAGAGAGGAGGTTGAGAGGAATGGCCATGGAGGTGAGAAAACCAGAAAAAAAGGGTGTCCTGGAAGTCAAAAAAGAAGAATTTCAAAAGATAGGGAAGTCGGTTGTCACCAACCTGTGCTGCAGGCCAGGTAGATATGATTTCCATTTTATGGGGAGAAAACTGAAATTTGGAGACATAAATGACTCACCCAAATTCATTGGGCTGATTAGTGTCAAAGGCAAGACTAGAACTGAGATTTTCGACTTTGAATTCTGTGCTCTTTTGACCACAGAACACCACAATAATGCCCTGGCAGAGGAACTCTGGAGCAGCCACCAAGCTCTTCTAGGAGGAAAGACAGGAGCTGAGGAACAGGTCCTGCATTTGTTGCTGCACCGCATCCTTCAGTGGTCAACTCAGAGCCCGTGGGGGGTATGATGAAAGCAGCACTGGTCTCTCAGATGGGCCACCAACCTGGAGGCCAGCTCAGCCTTTAACTGGCCTTGTGACCTTAGCCGGGCTGGGCAGCAGTCTCCTTCCAGTAAAACTGAGAAGTTAAAATGTATACTCTCCCACCTCTAATTTTATGATTCTTTTTTATGATACGGCTTATTAGGTTTTCCTCATTACAGAGGGGACATATCCTCATAAACTCAATTCTGTTTCTAAGCATGAGCAGAGAGAGCTGAGGAAGAGGTGAGAGAGGAGCTGAGGAAGAACTGGAGACCTTTATCTTTATAGGCACAGATAATTCAGAATTTTACCAGCTTCTATAAAACCATGAGTGAATAAGATGGGGAGACAGAACAGTTAGGTGAGGAGGCAGGGACCAGTGGAGTGTGAAGATTGAAAACAAATCAACAAGACTGATAACAGCAAAAAAAAAAAAAAAAAAAAAAAAAAAAATGAAGCCACACTAATTAAAAATAGCAGAAGCCCCAGAGATGCATTTAAAAACAATTACATTGGATTGCTCAAATTAAGAACAACAAAGAAACAGCTATGCAGACTCACTCCATATTCTGAGTGACTTTTTTTCAAAAAATAATAAACTAATATTAAAAAAAGCTTTTCCTTTTGCAAATTCTCCCCTTGTTGCAGAATGAGAAAACCAGAAAACGTTCACATCATTTTCCTCCAGTCTTTGGGTGCCAGAATGACAGGAGAATGAAATTAAATTCACTTCAAATGTTTTCCTTCCGGACTGTAAAGCTGCTGGCATCATTTATCCCAGCCCCGGCACTTACATAATCTGGGTGCCACGGGAGCCCTTGGAAGCCATTAAACAAAAAGAAGACATCAAATAATAGGGGGAAAAAGGCAGTTAAAATGCTGGACCCAATAAGGTAGTCAGAAGACTTGATTTAAATGCAAGCCCAGGACCCAGAATACTGAACATTCAGGAGTGAGGGGATTCAACGGGGAGGGACAAAGGGAGTTACAAGAATGCCCTTAAGAGTGGAGAGGGGACGTGGGTCCTTGGTGGCCAGGTCATCTTTCTTTGTACAGCAAAGGAATGGACATAGTACACTGGTGGATACTGGCAGTTCTAAGGCTCCATGAATCTTGGAGGAGAAATGGGTATTGGGCAAGGTGAATGCAGTGGGATCAGGTCTCAACTGTAGAGATCCCACTGGGATGGGATCTGTTACATAGGAGGAAGACATCTTAACCTGGGGGCTGGGACTTAGAGGTGTATCTGCTTTGCCTTTTTTTTGTTTTTGGTTTGACTCTGGGAATGGGCTTTGGGGGTCTTGGAATGAAGGGTCTCTACTGGAAGCTGCACTAGTTAAGACAAGTGGCTCTGTGTGTGCTACAGGCTCCAGGTTCAGGCCCTTCCCAGTCCACATGGGGTCTGAAGTTACCCTGGGAGGTACAGGACCCTCAAAACACGTTCCCGAAGGTCATCTTCACGTCTCCAGCATGGAGACAGTGCCCACCCGGTTCAGGATCTCATAGAGTCTGGAATCCCCTTATCGCCCCTGTGTCTGCCCTTCGTTTTCTCTAGGACACTGGCTCAAAACTGGGCACAGGAATGGAGGGTCTGGCATGTTGCAGCACCGAATTTACTCCCTTCTACTCTTTCCAGGGTAGACTCAAAAGCAGGAAAGGCCAGAAATCATCAACAGGTTAAGGTGAGTGTTTAAAAGTCATCCTTGAGTCTTCCAGGAAGGGCACAAACCCTCAGAAAATGAGAGTGAGTGGCCCCATGGCACAGCCCTTTAGGGCGCTCCCACCTGCTCATCGCTGTGGTCTGAGGAGTGTATCTGTCTGCTGACAGGCCATGCTGGATCTCCATTAGGGTCTCCTCTCCTGCTGTAATAACTTTTGAGGTGCCATGGGAAAGAGGGGCTGCTGGCTTCCTGACCTTGGGGTACATTGCTGAGCTCTCAGGTTAATTTTACTTTGGAAGATGTTGGATTTATCCTCTTTTCATACTTCTGGGGATCTTCCACCCACTTCCACCTCTGGCGAAGTTAAGGGCACTTGTAGTAGGCTGAATAATGCTCCCCAAAGGGCCCCAGGTCCTAACCCTTGGAATCTGTGAATGTTACCTTATATGGCTGGAGGGATTTTGTAGATGTAATTAAGTTAAGGATCTTGAGGTGGGAATATTATCCTGGATTATCTGAGGGGGCTGTAAATGTAATCATGAGTGTCCTTCTAAGAGGCAGGCAGAGGAAGATTTAACACAGAAGAAGTAGACAAGGTGACACTGAAACAAGACGTTAAGCTGCTGGTTTGAAGACGGAGGAAGGAGCCATGAACCAAGGAGCACAGCTCTAGAAGCTGGAAAAGGCCAGGAAGCAGATTTTCCCTAGAGCCTCAGGAGAGAGCACTGCCTCTCTGAGATCTTGATTTCATCCCAGTGAAACTGATTTTGGACTTCTGACCTCCAGAATCATAAGACAATAAATGTGTGTTGTCTTAAACCTCCAAGTTCATGGTAATTTGTTATATCAGGCACAGGAAATTAATAGAGGGTGCTCCTGCCACATTTGGTGTTTTTTTCAGGCTGAAGGATGAACAGAAAAGAATCTTTTCAGCCCTGGGAATTAGGCACGCAGATTCTAGTTGCTGGTTTTTGTTTCTGTCTTAACCTATACCAAGCACACATTTCTCTTTGCTTACATAGAGGTCAACATATTCACTGACATCCAAACCAGTTTGATTTGGGATGAACTTAGTTGTGATAATATCCTGATGCATTTTACTAGTTTTGGATGGCAACATTGAAGAGAAAGACCAGAGGGACTGGCTGCTCATTTCATTCTTTCTGAATGGATATGAAGGACCAGCAGAAAAGGCTGGAAAAGTGGCAACTGGCAGGGATATTAAGGACTCTGCTGAGCTCCTCTTTCGTGGGACATAAATACCTCAAGTTAATGACAAGGTCTCTTAAATCCTTAGGCTTCACTGGAGAAGAATGCTTAGGCTTCACTTAGACGTGGGGACTGACGGCCACACGTGGTACAAATCTGCTCTTCCTGCCCATTGCTCTCATTCTCCAAGCTGCTCACATGGGCTCTCAGTCTCCTCGGCTGCCCGTGTCTTCTGGCTGGGAAGGCTTCAGTTCTAGAGTTCAGAAAGGCTCCAGTACCAAGAACTAAGGACTAGGTTCTAGCTTAGGCTTTAAGGGAGAGGTTCCAAAGAGTCTTACATCATCAGACACATCTTGCCATCAAGGAAAGAAGGTGGATATTGAAGAGAAGAACAAGGCCCATTCAGGAAGCAAGGCTTTAGCCTGAGTGTTCCCTGTGACTCAGGTAGGAAATGGTTTTAGCAGAACTAGTCTAAAAATTTGTGGCACCTTCAGGCTGCCGTTGGAAGCAGAGACCCTAGCCTTCCTTAGGTGTTTCTGAGTCAGGGGAGCACAAGGTTCCTTCTTCCAGTCATTAGGGATCCTGGAGGCTACAGGCTCAGCTTTGGCTTCTGGCCTCTTGATTCAGATAGTCATAATGGCCCAAGCTTGGAGCCAGGGACCCTGCCTGGAGCTTGATATATTGGTATTAGAAAGGCATCCTAAAGGGGCCAGCCCAGTGGTGTAGTGGTTGCATTTGTGCACTCCACTTCAGAGGCTCGGGGCTCAACAATTTGGATCCTCGGCGCAGACCTACGCACCACTTATCAAGCCATGCTGTGGCAGCATGCCATATACAAAGCAGAGGAAGATTGGCACAGATGTTAGCTCAGTGATGATCTTCCTCAGGCAAAAAGAGGAAGATTGGCAACAGATGTCAGCTCAGGGTCAATCTTCCTCACCAAAAAAAAAAAAAAGAGAGAGAGAGAGAGAGAAAGGCATCCTAGAGCTTGGATCTTTCCAGAGCTAGTCACTCTCTCATGAGGCAACCCCAGCGTGTGGTTTCTGAGTCTTATGAGGTTAGTGGTCATGGGAGACAGACATCACGATTGAAAGTCCTGGCTTAAAGCAGCTCTGAGATAACTAGGAAGCCTGTTTTACACGTAAGTCAGTAACTGTCCTCACCTAATTGAATAAGCTTTAGCCTTCAATTCAATTTTGTACACAGTTTTTAACTCTAAGCCAGCCTATCTCGCTCCCTTCGCTTTCTCCCTCTCCCTCTCTCTTGTTCCTTGTCTTTTTCTCTCTCACAATTCTTGCAGGCTTGGAAGTCTGGAAAGGCTGAAATAGAAGAATCCATTGAATTCAGGGCCTTGTCTCCTATCCTTTATGTACAGACCTTAAAACTGAGGTCAAAGATTAATTAGTGACAGAGTCAACTCAAATTTTAGTATAAGATAATCTTTTGCTCTCTGTGGTGACACACTGCAGAGACTATCAGTGAAGTGACTTTTATTTTAATATCAGAATGACCTCTTTATGCTCCAAGAATTTGTTGGTATGAAAATCACTAGCTGCCCTTCTTTGCTGTCATTCAGCTCATAGGCTAACCACCTATTCTTGGGTTCTGTGAACTCTAGCACTGTATGGACACTGGAGTGGGGGATATCTTCTCGTCAACTCTGGGAAGTCAATAAGAAAGCAAGAAGGAATTAACATTTCCTGATTCTAAGAGGTTCTTCAGACTCAGAAGCTTGCATAAGTTTCAGAATCCTGAGAGTTTTTGTTGTTGATGTTTGTTTGTTGTTCTTTTTCTATTCGAGAATCCACACGATGTAGTTGAAAGAGCACCAGACTTCAAACAACAACCACACACATTCTTTCATTTAATCCTTCCAACCTTATGAAATAAGCATTATTATTATTCCTACTTTAAGATGAGGCTCAGGGAGGTTGTGGCACAGCCCAGACTAGCATCCAGTTACATTTGACCTCAAAGCGCTATTCTTCCATATTAACTCCAAATTAGATAAGGGTCATAACTCCCAGGCATCTCCTCCTGTTAGATTTGGGTGGGTCTAGGAGTGAGATCCAGCACAGGCAAATTTTTGGGGGGTGTTGGTGGATAGGACCTGTAGGAGAGCAATCTAGTTAGCATAATTATTAAGTAAATAGTGGGAAATAAAGTTTGCTAGGTGGAGAACAGATTGTAAGCCCGTTGGATGAGTTGGACTTGGTGTGGAAATCAGTGTCAACTCTTGAAGGGTTCTGGATGGAGGAGTGAGTACACAGGTCTGGGACGAGGCAAAGGTCAGAGCAGATGGAGCAGCCACTTCTGAAGGCCATCCCAGCATTCACTGGTTGAATTCAAGGTGACCTGGTGGCAGGGAGATCCAATATGATTGTTGGATTGTGTGAGAATTGGAGGCCTGACCTAGTGAGGAAACAAATCAAGAGAGGTTTTGGAGGAAAAAAATGACAGGATTTGATGACAAATTAGACATATGACCTTAAGGAGGGTAATGAGCAAGGGTGACTCTGAGATTCCTCACTGAAGAAAGTGTATGCACTCAGATTTCTTTTACAGCTCAAAACTGTACTGAGACAAGGGGACAACAGGAGCCAAGTAGGGCATAGCTCAAGAATTTGGGGAGAATGTCAGAAAATATTGCTCATTTAGCAGAAATGTACGACGTTCATCATGTATAGAATGTTTCCAGGAAGCAACTCACTTGGTGATGACTTCTGAACATTGCTAGTGAAACTATAGCTTTTTTTCTCTGTCTCTCTCAGATATTTCAAAGATACTAATTTCAGATGAAGTTAACACAAGATGTGTGGTAGTCCTGAAGCTTCTAATTGGTCCTGTCTATCAGGAAATGTGTTTAGGAGTGACCCCGACTGACACAAGGTGAAAGGTGTTTTTTTGTGACTGATTAGGGCAAATCATAAAGGAAAATTAGAGAAGGAAAATCGCCTAATGATTACAGTACTTTCTAAGCGAGAGAGAATCTGTACTGTAGATCTAAGCAGCAGGAGCATTATAAAAGGTTAGGCATAATTCGTTAGGTTTTGCCATACTAGAAAAAATACATGAAAAGATTATTTAATTTTCTCTGATCTGTTTCTTCTATCACTAAACAATCTTCTGGTGATTAGTTCCATTTTCAGGGACCCTGATTCTAGAAAGGGGGTGTCGTGGTTGAAATAATTTCAACACATCATAATTAAGAAAATTAATGTCAGATTGGGCTCTCAGACTCTTGTGAATTGGGATAGCTTGAGTCAGTCCCACAGAAGATGATTCCTACCTCTAAGTGAACTCATCCCATTAAGGCATAAATTTATCATATTATCACTAGCTTATTAGTTTTCTATAATTGCTGTATCAAATTACCACAATTCATTGGCTAAAGGTAATACAAATTTATTAATTTACAGCTCTGGAATTCAGGAGTTGGAAATTAGTCTCAAGATGTCAACAGGACTGTGTTCCTTCTGGAAGCTCTAGGGAAGAATCCATTTCCTAGACTTTTTCTAGTTTCTAGAGACTTTCCTGCCTCATGGCCCACATCACTCCCATTTCCACTTCCATTGTCACATTTCCTTCTCTGACTTTGAAATTCTTCTCTCCCTCTTATAAGGACCTTTGTCATTTGGGCCAATCTGGATAATCCAGGATAATGTCCTCATCTCAAGATACTTAAGGTAATCACATCTGCAATCGTCCTTTTGCCATGTAAGATAACATATTCACAGAACCAGGAATTAGGATGTAAACATTTTTTGGGGAGCTGGGGGTTATTATCCTACCTGCCTATAACTGATAATATTACATTTTCCCAATAGATTATGGGCCAGTATAATATTCCTAACTAAATTACAAATATACTGTCTGAGGTCCTGCTCTCTGAGACTGGGCTGGACCTGAGCAGGTCAAGGTGGGTCATAGGAAAACCATTGCTTACAGTGAAATGGGAACCATAAATACAAATAGGACTGTGCCCAAAGAGGGTAAGCAGAATGGTGACATGTCTAGATATTTGTCACACAATGAGAACTTGAAAGAAGTTGGCTCCCAGCATTTGGATCCTTTCAAGCAGAGGCTGGACTATGACTTGATAGGGATGTTAAAAGGAGATTCAGATTTTGACAGGACTCAATGACCTTTGTTATTCTTCTAATCCTGAACATCTATTAGTTTATTAAATGAATCGGATGGGGAAGTTCCATTTTCTTCAGGAACCACTGTCCCCTAGAAATCTTTACCTGATGTATGCTTGTAGTGATGAGTCAAATAAAGCTCCAAAATTTACCAACAAGAAGCAAAAGTCCCAGAGAACAAGATGGACTTCACTCCCACAGCTTCCATTAAAGTTAATGAGAAGTTAATCATGTCAGTAGAAGTGACATAGTAGAATCTTGAGAAGCTTGGGGAACAGAAGGGCTCCAAATGGCATTGGCTGAACACTAATTCAAATAACTCAACTTGATATGGAGTGAGGAGGATAAAGGACAGTGAGAGATTGTGTTAATGCTTTGCAGAACACTTCAATTCTAGCTGCAGCAACATCGCCTCTTAGCTTGAAGTGTTTGTCCAAATGAACCACTTCATT